CCCAACGGGGACTGAAGGGCACGTGACTTGCGTACGTGCCCGCCTAGACGTTAAATAGACACACACACACACACACACACACACACACTACTTGTATCTACACCTAATCCCCCTAAGATTTCAACCCTAAGTGTATCGCGAATTTTTACCTGTATATGTACCTATAAAAGAGCCAATACGACAGCTAACGAGCCTAGGTGTATAACCTAGGCCCTAATCGTACCTATTAGATACTTGTATCCCTCGAAAATCCGCTTAGAATCACCCTAAAACCCCCCCAAAAGCAGCCTGAAATATACTAATTTTAGGTACAAAAAAATCCGATAATTATCGATATCGTCAGATTTCAGCCGATAATTATCGGTATCGTGGGATTCTATATCAATAATATATCGCGATATAATATCGCGATATCCGATATTATATCGTATCGGCGCCCAGGTCTGATAGGGCCTAAGGGGTACTGCGAAGTCTCGAAAACGTAATTATTCTCTTATTTGTCTTTACTTACTTGAAGCAATTCAAACAGATTCGAGATTTCTATACGAGGATCTATGAAGGAATTCTTAAATTACCTCTTTTATATTATATAGAGGTTTTGAGGTATGAATCCGTCGTTATTATTATTTGAACAAAAAGGGCTGATTTTGATGTTATACGGGTATGAGTAGTCGTAGATTTTATTTGCAAGACACGTCAGATAAGTCATTAGAAGCTCAGCAAGCAAAAGAAGTACAAACTCCCATCTCATAAACTGATGAACAAACCGATTGTTGTAATTGCCGAGTGACTCAATTATCCAAGATAATCGAGTCATATGTCAATGATTCCTCGCACAAACCCCAAACTTTCTACAAGATGATGACTCGAACTGCTGAAGTGTAGTGTCGTCAAACCAAGTGCGGATCCTCTATAAAAAGAGGAGTGGTTCTAGTCAGGAAGGAAGTTCACCAAGAGTATTTTTCACCTTGAGCACAACTCCTGAGAAGTGTTCAATTGTTAAAGATTTCTCTGGAAACGGAAGAATTTTGGATTTAGCCTCATTCGACTTTTTTTGTTTCTAAGAAGTGGTCCAGTACTCTCAAGTGATACTTTGTACAGTACACGTTTCTCAAGTCGTGATGTTTTCCAATACAGTTGACTCAGTTCAGAAGGATGAGAAGGGCCGCTTTCGAGTTCCACCAGTAAATATTAGCATCCTGCAAAGTGCACTATTCAAGACACAAAAGCTAATCGTTACGTTCTAACAGGAGCCTACTCCTCCATCCAAACCATACGTATGGATGCTTCCATCCTTTCATGAGCTCATAACTAATGAAAACCTAGCGTGTCGGGCCGAAATCGGTCAATAAATGGATGGTGGAAGAGTTAAGTTCAAAGTGGCCGGAAGGTCTGCCTCAAAACTTTTGGGACAGAGTTGTCAGAGTGGTCAATGAGGAGCGTGAGGCCAAGAATATGTGGGAGTCCGAGGAGAAGGGAAAGGTAGCAAAGGAGGATGTGCTTCAGAAAAGCTGGGAGAGGCTCGAAAAACTTTCCAAGTATTGGAAGAACGGCAAGTTCACAAATGAAAAGTGGACCCATAATTTCATCAGCGTCAGACGTCCACCTCCTCCCAACTGGATGAAGAAGGTACCAAACTGGACAAAGCCCGCCTTGTTCGATAACGTAAGGGATAGTGTTACGCAAAAGTTCTACGTCTGGAGAGAAAGTCGCCCTGAGGCCAGTAACAAACGATATTTCCAGGCACTAGAGTCAGGAGAGATGCATCATGAGTTCTTCGAGACGTTACGCAGAAAGGAGAGAAAACTGCGTAAAGAAAAAGATGAGGGTAAAACGCCGTCGCCTTGCCGTAAGTGTGGCTTCTCCCACTGGGTTGACGAAGATTGCCCGAAGTTCGCAGCTCATGAAGCTCAGTTTCACATTGAGTAGCTCAGGTCTGAAAATCCTCAACCTGATAAGCCTGAAATAAAAAGGGCGATAAGGTATCTGGAGAAGCAAACAAATCAAGATACCCCTGAAGAAGAGGAGGATGAGGAGGAGGAGGAGGAGGAGGAGTAATTATAAATTTTCAACAAGGCTTGTGCTGTCTGGACTCTTTGTGTATTATTGTTTAGACGCTTGTCTGATGTGTAGTTTATTTTATCACTAATCACAACATTAATTGGGGAATTCTCCACAAGTTTTGACAATCTCCTTCTACCAGATTCAATATTTGAGAACGTTACATCCTAATTCAATTCTACTATGTCCTCAGATGAGTTCTATTTGTCATAATGGCCATGATGGATTTGAGACGAAGTCCATTAACAACTCTTAAATGACTTTGAGTCATAATTTATCGTTGGGCGCGCGTCCAAACATGATGTCTCTTACCCAATTAACCCATCACATTTCTCTTATTATTCTGTACTAGCCCAAAGAGGTTTGATCACTTTGAACAAGGTCCCAGGTCACTGTGAAAGAATGTTCCAAGGCTAGATTTTCCTCATGTCGGTTGAACTTCGGATCCGCTTCCCTTCCCCTTCCCCTGAACGAAGCGAACCAGTACACAACCGATTAAGCGAGAATCCTTCTCAACACTGAACAACAATCATGTAGATACGAAAACCTGGGTTGAATTGAGTTGCGTGAACAATCGTAAGATGATTGAATACAGTGCTGCTTTAACCTGACTCGTGAAAATGCCAAGAAATCGCGGTTGCCTAGGAAAATAATCTCCCGAGAACCCGAGCGACGCCCCGCGCTCGAACTTGAACTTCTCCTCTTCGTAAACTTTCCCTCCTCCACATCAACTTCGCAGGCTTCTGCGACGTTCAATCTTGACCTTGCCAGTCGCAAACGTCAACTTCTGTGGGACTGTTGAATGCTGTGGTTCCCGGAAACGGGCATGTCCCAGAAATCCAATTGGACCATGCCTATGCCTCTGGCGTCGGCGTCCAGACGGACATATTACTCGCCTCTGGACCGCCAACGTCATGCATACGCATGATGAGAAGCTCTCTGTTGCTACAAAGGTTTGTACAAGCTATCAATAATTGTATTGACCTTTGCTAACACAATTTCCAGGCAGAGGGTGCGATCAAGAAGTCCGAGGGTGCCATCACTGGCAATGCGGCCAAGAAGGTATGTCTGGTGCCGTAGCTGAGGAGTACTCGTTTTGCTAACTATGCCAGCCCTCGCCGCGCCGCCGCATGGCCAATGGTGCATCCGATCAAATGGTTTCTCAGGAAGTCGACGGTGTCGGCTGGGGAAGCATGATACACAGGTAAATATTATTTCTCTTCCTTTGATCGTCCGCTTGGATGTGCTCATTCCTAATTCCTGACAAGTTCATTGACTGAAATTGCAATAGCTGGAGTCCGACAGTTCCCAGATCTCCCAGTATTCTGGACTCGCCGTCACGATTGGCAGTCTGGTCAAGCCATGCATCCACCGATCTCTCTACTCAAGTCTCCTCACTACACTCCCTGCCAAGCTCTCTTTGGCAGCAAGAGTGGCGCGTGGAGATGCTCCCTTTACTGGCTCTCCACAAGACCAAAGCACTCAACCATCACAACAAATCAATCGGCAAGCACCTAAGCATGTGTCTGTCAACCACACTCGCCACCAAGATACAGTCAAACAGCATGGCAAGTCTACACATAGATTTCTCCGAGCAAGCTCAAGGGCGTAACCTGTCGTCGTAGCTCCAACAATGATTCCAAGCGTTGTCCATCAACACCAAGGTCCGCATCTTCAAGCTCCAGTCATAACCGTCACTGCCCCAAGTTTTCACTTTCAATGTACCAATGTTTCTGTTCCTTCTGCTGTCTCTGCTGCTGTTCCTGCTAAGCCATTTGCGTACGAGGTTCCTGAGTTACAAAAGTTGTACATGGAATGGCGAGACAGCGAAGCAGAACCGAAAGCCTTTCTGGATGCTGTTTACGCTAGTCTCACAGATACACCACGCATTTTACCAGCACCATTCATCTTCCACAGTGTATGGTATCTCCCTTCTTTCACTCTCCTGGCCACTAGGAAATGAGCAGGAGATCCATATCAATGGCTAGGAGAAGGAGAGAAGAATGGGTCACTTGTCTGGAAAGGAGTGGATAAGGAGAGGTTGGAATCGGGAGAGGAGTAGGAAGGAGAGGCTGAAAATGAGGCTATTCGCACGTCCCGTGCGATCGTCAAACTTGAAGCACCACCCAACACGAGAGCTACGAGCCCGGCCTCCCGCGCAGGCAGTCCGCAGCGCAATAGAACGCCAGCTTTACCACCAAAGCACGGATTCAAAGCCGAACCTGCTGCTGTTCCTGCTGTTCCTGCTGCTGGTGCTGCTGGTGCTGCTGTGGTCAAACAGTCGGTTAGCGAACCGAGATGCTGGGCAAGTACCTTCGCTTACTGCGGATACACAAATCTGGGGGACCACATACAATCAATTGACTGTTCCATCCAGAGAACCATTCCCAGCTGTCGCAGGAAGCGTGCATGGTCGTCGGTTGTACGAGTCCACCTCTCGCTTCTGATTGTGTCCACTTGTCAAATGTATACTCGGCTACCTTCTTTCTACAGAATAATGGGTCTGGCTGTCAAGTATCTACTCGTGTTCGCTACACTTTCAAGGGCTTCGAGATCAACCGCAACCGAAGATCAGCAATTCAAATATTCGCAGAAACGTCGTCCTATTTCTTCGTTCTTCTTCATTCGTTCTGCAGCTGGTGGTGTGAGTCATGTATCGAAGCACCCGAAATCACACTCTCTTTCATTGGTTACACATTCAAGCGCTTCGAGACCAATTTCAACATAAGATGAGAATTTTCATACTCGCAGAAAAGTCATCCTACCTCTTCGTTCTTCTTCGCTCAGTTTGGGAAGCACCAGTCAGATGATGGCTCAATCGGAGACTCTCCTTCGCTTTTTTAACTGGATACCACTTAGGTGACCATCCATCTCTTCCATATTCTTCACCGTGCACACACAATATCTTGAGATACCTTCTTCGGTCGCCTTCCCATCTCGTGAGATCTCCCGATCACTTATCAGAAGACGAATAAGGCACTGTCAAAATGTGTGGAAAATGAGCATGTCGAGAGAGCTAAGAGCAAAGGGGGCGTCTTATAGGAAGCTCCCACCGGGCATGGTCGAATAGAAGCCTCTATGATGGGAAGTTATGGCCTGTCTTGATTGAAAAGCCCGAATCAAGGAGTTTGATTTTGAAGGTACCGCAGAATTCATTCCTGCAATCATCTCCCTTCTGTTGGCCAAACAATAGGATGGTTTGCTGCCTTCCACACCTCATTTGGCTTGTCCCTTTCGTGGGGCATTCCTTAGCACACAGTATCTGGCAATCCGAACCGCTTGGAATGGATAGTAGTCTGTCTCGATCACAATGATCAGTTGTAACATGCTTTCGCAAGTGGGGAGACAGCCGCCCCAGAGTCTTTCTGACAATCCAAGAGCCCGTTGTTAAGAAGAAGACTACCGCCAACACTGGCGCAAAAAGAGGACCAAAGGCCGGAACCAACAAGGCAGCAAAGCCCACTGGGCGCGTTTACCAGTACAGAGTATTTAGTAATCTCAACCGCTTAGAATGGGTGGTAATCTGCGTTGATCGCAATGATCAGTTTTAACATGCCTCTGGAAGGAAGGCAACAGCCGACCTCGAGTCTTTCCCACAATCCCAGAGCCAACCGTGAAGAAGACCACGCCAAACGCTGGAGCAGAGCATGGCCCTGGCCACAACAAAGGGTGCGAAGCCAGTTGGCGTCAGCAAGAAAACATCTGCCGCCGAGGAATCATCTGCCGTCGAGAATTCCTATGTCGCTCCAGCGAATCTGCAAGCTATTTGTAGGATAAACTGATTGTCGATTTTCTTTTCGCGTTCGAGGTCGGTTTATTGAGCTTGAAGAAGAAGAAGACTACGGCGACCAGAGACGCAAAGCGTGGACCGAAGATCTCTGGCACTCCACAGGCCCGTATTGCGTAACTGAGAAGTCTATGGTTATCAACAAGAAACCACTGGTCTCACCAAGTTCGTCAGCAGTTATTAGCCGGTTGTTGTGAGGGTTCGAGCTGAGTGGATAGCGCTATACTCTGGAGTGACTCAAGTGTGAAGTCACAACGGGGCTAAATGTGACAGTGATGTTGTTTTGTGGAGTATAAGCTGTCTCTGGGACATGGTCCATCTTTGCGATCAGTCTCAATTATTTTGGAATTATCTTGTACGTTCCAGTAATACACTGACAGTTGTCAAGATCGCCACTGCAAAGCGAGGACCAAAAAAGGCTTCAACAACAGAGGAAGCTCGGCCAACTAGAGTTATCAATTAGATTGCTGTTGTTTCGTCGATGGGGAAAGTTGTGCTTTGAATAATGCTTCTTGGTGCGTTGGTTAGAAGATTTATTGATGAGCCCGGCGAGGATGAGGCCGGTGAGAATGCAGGAAATGGGAATGGGGGGAGAATGCAGTTTGAAGTAGGCGGTAGTGATTAAACACCGAGCTCGGAGGTCACCATCAGTCAAGTACAAAATACCAGAATGGGATCTGGAAGTTGAAGATTCAAGTTTGAATCATCATCCGACTGTCTAATCATGGAGACCCAGAGCTTCACAGCTCGTCGGTCAGCAGCTTCCAATCTTCCTACTTTCCAACTCCGCCACCAGATCTCTCTGGAATGCAAAAGTATCCGGCCTATTGGGAGAACCCAAAGCAAGTTTCTGCCACCTCCACAGAGGTTTACTGTCGAAAATCCATTCTCTGTCGGAGAGTCCTCCGACCAGTTCTTCGACCAATCCTCTCCTGCCTGTAGATGTATTATTGGGTTGAAAGGGTATTGGGTACTGAAGGTCATGGAGAATTGATTGCATTGTAAAAGGTAGCTATCTAAGGTGTTTATATAAAGAGTGTTAGTTTTATGCAGACATGAAGCATTTAGGCAGCAGAGCTATAAGTGGATCAAATCAGGAAGTGGAGCAAAAGAGAAAGTAGACCCAGCACAACATGTATTTATGTCTTGTCTGACCACTCCGATTGAAATGGCCTTATGGCCGTCTCGGTGGATGTCTGAACGAGCCGAGAAGCTACCTGGCAGGCTTCAGGAACGAAGAACGCCACTTGGAGAATTAAACTGGATCTGCACTGCTATTACCGAAGCCATAGCTTGAACTAGGTCTGGGGGAGGGTTAGAGTTGTAGTTAGCATAATTCTGTGGTGCTGCTATAATAGAATGTTTCCGTACTTCCGCTGTTCATTGGTCCCAGGTTCTGAAGAATGGCAATACCGCAAGGGAGGGATGTGGAGTTCATCTCCCTAGCCCCGAGATTTCCAACATCAAATCAAACTATCTTCTTGAATAAACCAGCCCAATCCATTGCTGGAATCAGGGAGTCTGTTCTGTGGGCCTATGCTGTCCCTTAGACCCTCGCGTTCAATCGCAACCTTATTCAGGAACTGTCCTCGTACGCTCATAGCGATACCCTGACACGTTCGTAGCAAGAGAAATTCAGTGTCGTTCTCTCATTGAATACAACAATATTACTTTCACCAGCAAGGAAAACGAGAATTTTGATGGTGTAAAATCCTGCACAGAGCAAGATATCACCAGGAGATTGCACTTTCGCAACTCAAGAATTGATGTTGAGATTCTACATTCTTGCGCAATGAATCGGGGCGTAGAAACGTGTTGTATCAGCTTTTTCCAGCAGTGCGTGGCGCAGGCAAGGCAAGGTAGATGAGCCGTTGGTCGCTACTCTAAGCGACGCCAACAGAGAGAGCTCTTCCCAATGTGAGCCGGCTCCATCCAGGCAAACTCCAGTTCACATCAACGAAACAAAAGTACAAGCAAGAATTAGATGGAGCGGGGCGTAGAAGCATGTTGTATCGAGTTTGTCATACACAGGGTGTATGTACTGGCCAAGTGCGTGGCGCAGGCAAAGCAGATGAGCCGTCGACTCGTCGACGGACGCTACTCTAAGCGACAGCAACAGCTTCTGCCAACGACGCTCTATCTGAGGGAGCTGGAATCCATTCCAATGAAAACAAGCAACAAGCGAGAATCAAAGGTCAATTCATCGCGCAAATGGACACGCTTGAACTCCTTCCTCAACAAATCAGTTACAAAAGAAGCTGTCACCAATCCTTTGAATATCTACCTAGTATTTGGACTTGGCTCCATATCTGAGAGTCTTCTCAATACGAAGATCTTCTCCGTTGGTCCACAATCCTCACGCTCTACGCGATAGGTAAGCCAACGGAGTCATCCGTTGGGAACCCGATCACAATGATCAGTTTCAACAAGAAGCCACAAGAAAGTGGCAAAAATACTGATGTACATCTGGGGTTTAACTATGTTGCTCGGCATTGTTGTCTTCCTGATCTCGTGGCTTCGACGAGATTAGCTATGCTCTTGTCGATGTATTGCGGAGGAGTGGGCATTGTGGTCAATGGTCTAATTGCGAAAAAGACTGAGGAGTTTCTTGCTGCGTCAAATTTGCCTTGTTTGGTCTCGGTGGATTATGTGACGGAAGCTAAGCGATTGAAGACACATGGAGATCATCTATCACAAGACGGACAGTATGCTGCTGCACGCTCATTGTACATTCTTTCAGCATGGATGATTACAGAATAACCCGTCCTTCGCAGATTGCTCTTCAGTCACATTTTGATCAGTACAAAGGGAGCGGACTCCCTTGGCCGAAATGGAGAGTTGCGGCAGGTATGCGATGTTTGAGAAACATTTTGTCCCGGTGCTGTTACTCTATGCGATTGGTAAGCTCGATGGAATCGTCTGTTGGTGGACCAGATGGGATGTGTGAGTTCGGAGGGCTTAGCTGTGGTGCTATTGGATTTCTGTGCAGGGCAAGAGTTGTTCGTGGTGTTTTTTGTTGTTGTAGTTTGTAACGATTATTATCTTTAGCGTTCAAATATAATACACTCAAAAAAATGAAAGCAGGCAGCAGGTGATAGTAGCTAATCCAGTGCACTCAATAACAAATAAACCAGCAAGGTGCTAAGGATAAGCATTCGGATCATAATCGTATCTCAGGCAATGAGAAAGTATACGAAGGGTGGACATGCAGTGACTTGCGCAACTCAACACCCTAGACCCATCCCATGGTTCCAATTGCAACAAACCATGCCATATTGCAGAATAGTCGGATTCCACAAACAACACGTCATACAATGATATAACTGTAACTTACCAGATAGAAGGCAAATATTACATGGTGTCGAGTAGGCAGTCGCAGTAGGAGCAGAAAAGTCGATACCTTATCTACTCCCGGTCGATACTGTATCAACAACCTAAAAAAAAAAAGTTATCTATGATTTTCGCTTACCCTCCTAGTAGGTAAGAGCAGGTCTAGATAAAGTATCTATAACCGGTTATAAATAAGGTATTAACAATTGTCGATAGGGTATCTATAACCGATTATATAGGGGAAGTTTTCTTTTAAAAAATGATTTTCTTATAAAAGGGTCTATTAGTCTCTAATAGTCGTCTATTTATCCCTATAGCGTTCTCTATAAGACCTTTTTTTATTAAGTATAGGATAAGTTTTCTTGATTTCGCTAAGTACTTTTATTAATCCCTTGATTTCGCTAAGTACTTTTACTGGTCCGGTAGCTAGGAATAGACTTTTATTATAGTTTTAGGTACGTAGATCCTACTACGCACGTACTTCCGAGTACTACCGAGTACTACCTATATATTACTGCCCTTCCCCCGCCCTCTCTTTGCCTACCTATCGTTCCTACTATCCCTACCTAAAAGTGTACTTAGTCGTTTTTTTGACTCCCTCCCGTCCCTACCTGCGAGTGTACTTAGTCGTTCCGACTGTCCCTACCTATAAGTGTAAGTCGTTTCGGTTAGTTTTTTACTCCCTCCTGTCCCTACCTATAAGTGTACTTCGTCTTTTTCTTGTCCCTACCTATAACCTCTGTATATACTTAATTCAAGTAAGTGATTCGAGCCGTAAAAGTACAGAAATAAGTATAAAAATAAGTGTAGAAATAAGTGTATAAATAAGTGTAGAAATAAGTGTAAAACTACGTAGAAAAAGGTTGTAATTTATTAACAACTTTAGACATTTTGGTGACTATTTATTAACCGTTTGTAGATAAGGTATCGACAATTGTCGATAGGGTATCTACAACCGAGCGTATACAAAAATGTACATAACGTATCGACAACCGGTTGTCGATACCTTATCTACGCCCGCTCCCACTGGGAGTAAGTAGAATAGAAAGTTATCCAGGACCCACGGAAGAATTTCATATCAAGCTTCTGCTTAACTATCAAATTTCAGTCTCTGCAATCCAGATCTGCTTAAAGGCACTCCTGCTCTGACACATATACCACCTACAACCATCCTTACCCTAGAAACTTCCTCGCGCAAAGGAAACCCTTCCCGGCCACACTCGCTGAATTCTCCACGATACCAAAGAGGTGGATGGGTTACTTCATTGTCGAAGAACGAGCTTTCTGTGAAGATCAACTAGCACATTGAGAAACTTAGGGGCTGGTTAGATGGGAGTACAATGTAAAAATACCATTAAACATGTCTTCAAACCCCATCAGGGCGACGAGGGGACAATATCGCTTATGGTGTTGCATTGAAATAGTGTCGCAGGGGAATATCCGAGAGTCTAGTTGGAATCACAGACACTTTGAATTCCCCCAACATCTCTTTGGAGTGATATGGGTACTAGTGTATTATCTAACAAGGATGGTAGAAGGGTAGTAGTGTAGTAGCTCTAGATATCATTTGGGGGGTGAATGGCTAAAGTGAGTTGCTAGTTTTGTTATTATGATACAGAGTACGGTAGAATAGTATTACATATAGCTTTTAGTAAGGTAAGCTAAGGTAGAGGTGTGTAAATAAGTACCAGAGGCCTTGCCTACTTAGAGGAATTTAGATAATAATTAATGAAGAGGATGCTGAATTCGGTTTATGTATATCTGTAATCTTCCCTTGTTGAGGATGCATGGAGGAGGGTGGATGGGAAGCACTGTACTTAAAGTGATTATCTAGGCATTTTGCGTGAAGGGGTTGAGGGATTGCAGATTTCGTGTTTTTCATGAAGCTCTGGACCACTCAAATTTCGACTCATTCGAAGGCCCTACACATAATCATTGAAAGTTCATAGCCAATTCACAAACGGCAGAAACAGGATTTGGGGTATTCATTTATCCTTTTAGACTCCACTACCATGATCATACTACCCCATCATTCAACCTTCTCCATCCTATTCCTCAATATTCTTAACACACTCCCAATCCCCCTTCAAGTTCTCCTTCCACAGAGAAACCTTATTATCCCCCGCCGAAACGGCCAAAACATTCCCACTCAGACTCCAGCTCACGCGCCAAACGACCTGTTCAAACCTCAACTCCGTACTCTTCCATTCATTGGGTGTACTCGGGTCACTCGTCCAAATCCGCACCGTCTTATCCTGACTCGCCGACGCAATATAACTCTTCTGAAGCACCGTCGGACTCCACGCAACATCCCTCACCCAATCCGTATGACCCGTCAAGCTCGCCCCTTCCTGTTTATAATTCTGACTCGCCTGATCAAACGCCCAAATCTTCAGCGTGTTATCCGATCCCCCAGTCACAAATCTCTTGACACCCCCTGCGCCACCAGCCGCCGACACCAAGCTGCCCGGAGCCGACGAAGGGGCCCAGGAGACTGAGTTTACACCAATCCCATGCGCGGGGAAGATCTTGTGGTCCATGGCGTTGTCTTTGAATTCCAGTACGCTGACATTGCCATCGGAGCTGGCGCAGGCGAGAAGACAGCCGGATTCATGTGGTGACCAGGAGATGATGTTTACCGATGCGGTGTGCAAGGTGAATTCGAAGACGCGAGTCCATGAGGTTCCTGTTTCCCGCCAGATGAGGACACGACCGTCGTAGCCAGCGGAGGCGAGGATGTTGCCGAATTTGGGATGGGCCCAGGAAACGGACCAGACGGCTCCTTCGTGACTGTTGTGTTTTGTTAGTAAGGAACACCTTGATGGAGATGTATGAATGGAGAGAACTCACCCTTTGAGGGTTTCAGTCAAACGGTGAGATTCGCCTTCGACTTCAAAGATCTTTACTGTTCGGTCAGAGGAGCAGGTTGCCAGTCGACGGCCGTAATAATCAAGAACTGCGTCATGCTGGAGAAGGTTAAGTAAGTTAGCTTTGATTGTTTTACTTGTATTTGTATGCGCGGGAAGTGAAAATACATACAATCATGTCATCATGACCAGAGTTGGAGATAACTTGCGCCATCTTGACACGAATTTATGGAGTTTTGTCAAGATGTGTGTTGGATTGGAGAGAACACTTTGTAAATGTTCATCGCAATCCCTCCAACTCAACTTACTGGGCTGAGGAAGCTGCCACCCTGTCGTCTGCCGTGCATCGGATAAACACTTCTTCCGAGGGAAGGCTGAGTCACGTGCGTGCCTGTGTAAACAGCACCTGCACTCAGCCTTAAAGGGTTTTGCCGGCCCAGTCACACCCTCGGGAGAGGCTCGGCCGAGGCTTAAATTCGTCTAACCCTCAAAAAAGTTATATTCAGGACTTAATAGAAGAAAAAGGGCTTATCCTCAAGCGACTTTTGACCCTCGGGTGCCTATAACCATTAACATATTTTTACACAGCTGTTTCAAATTCCTTGACCCTTATAAATTTTTATTTATCCTCGACCGACGCTCTGTTGCCTGAAGTCACATGCGCCTGCGCACTCTCAACCTCCCGTCCGATCTCCAGCTACCTACCTTGGGGCACCACAACCACCCTCACGCCCGCTTACCGGCCGGCCCTCCGCGCCTGTTTATTGTGGCCGAATCGCGCGAATCTGAACCTTATATTTACGTGGTGTTGTTGTCTGTCGTACACGCACAGTACCGAGTATTTATTGCACCCCTGCAAGGTGTGGCGCAGCTACATTTAGCTTCATGTAGCTCGAAGCAAATACTTAGATAACTTTTGTACCTATATAGAATTCTCTAACCCTCTAAAGCCCCTAGTACACCCTCCTAATCCTCGGACAACCCTTATAGTTAATAAGACTTAGCGAAAAGACTTAGGTCTTAATTATCTAAGATTTAGAAGCCTTTTAAGGGTTAAAAAGTTACTGATACCTAGGAGTCTTAGCGCCCAAATCGTATATAGCTTAAAAAGGCCTTGTTTCTCGGGCGACCCTCAACCACACGCTAACCCTCCCTTGAGGGTGCTACTGGGACAGCAAAAACCTTTAAGGGGGTAGGCAGAGTATGTACAAGTTCCTTGGGACATTTGGATTTCATATAAATGAATTGATTTCAAGAATTTAAAATATTGTGGAATTAATTATGAAAGTTTCAGAAGAAAGATTCTTCTTGTTGTTGAATTTGAAGCTGAGGTGTCATAGATTCATCAGGAGTTCCGCAATACATCAACAATGAAAGGCGCTGATTCTTGTATTAGATATTTGCAAGAAGTATATAGACGCATTTTAAACCAACAAATCGGGCTACAACTGTCATGTTCTTGCTCCCTCTTAATTCGAGTCTTACCAACATACTCCTACACCGGCCTCCGTTCTCGGGCTCGGGGTTCTATCGAAGCACTTTATTTACAGCTCTCGTAGGAACTGTGAACTACTCAAAGTCCACAGATACTCAAATATTCGAGGCAAACCAGTTCAAATCACATCCAACTCGGTGAATAATACCTTGGTAAACATCTGTTTTGATGTCTTACAAGAGCTGGACTTTTCAGCAAGTACACCGAAATATAACCGAGTTTTGGTGGGGGATCAGAAGCAAAAGACATTCATCTATTCATCCCTCCTACACAACATTTGCAGAGCAAGATATCCAATTACAATTCAATCTTTCACTATCACTCAAATCAATGGCACAATAGCAGTTCCATACTATTGTTTCTCCTATTCAAGCTTCTTTCAAAAAGATAAGTACAACAATTCTCATTCTCAGCTTACATCGGACCTGTGAATCACGACCAACCTCGGCCCGTCGCAAAGCCTGGATCGCGCGCACGCCTCCAAGATAAGAACAATACCTCTACCAAATCATTATCACTCATCCATTGACAATACATAACACCTTCACTTCCCCAATCCAGCTTCAAAGCTTGGAAAACCTTGACTACAAAATCTCGCCACTCCCACATCATCAACACCACCACCACAACCGACCTTCAACAAAGATGGCGGAATCCATGTGCGGGCCCTCCAATGCCGTGAATACATTTCAAAAACACACCTCCGTCGACCGAACACTACAACAAGATCGTCTTATAAACAGACAATCCCCATCACAGGTAGATCACACAGCTTGCATCCTCTATATCTATGTACTAATTATGCACAGGGTTTCCGCTCCTCGCCCGGCCCAAATGCAGGTCTGCTAGATCCCGAATTCGAGGCCTTTCAAGCCGGTCGTCCGCCCCTCGACTCTCAAGTCGCAACTCCCTTCACATACACTCACACACCTTCTCCCTTCCAAGCAGCTGGTCCATCATGGGTGTCGGATTTTCAAAATCTGAATATTGCAGGTCCCGCGGCGCAAAGACAAACACATACGCCGCAACCGCAACAACATGAGGCGCTGAAAGGATGGCATCAAGAGTTTGTGCGGCAGCAGTCGGGGATGAATGCGTCACATGTGCAGAGTCCAGTACAGAGCGGTTTGCAGAGTTCTTATACTCCTATGGCGTCGGGGATGCACATGGGGGGGCAGTACATGGGGGGTAATATGATCGGAGGGTTTCCAGGGCCACAAGTCGCATCTTCGATAGCGGTGCAGAAACAGCCTACTACGGATATGTTTGATGAAGAGGCATTTGCGCGCGCATTCGAAGAGGCAGAGCAGGCAGAACTTGAGATCCAAGCCGAACCTGAGGCTCTCGCTGAAGAAGGCACAGTAGAAACAGAGACGGAAGTGGCGACAGAAACCCAACAAACCATCATTTTAGACGATAGCGTCCTCCTTGCCGAATCCGCAGAACGTCTCATGGAAATGGAATCAAACAACCAAACTCAACCAGCCATCGGCGCAGATTCCATTCTCCCCCAAAACCAGACAGAGAGAGATACACATAACCACGATGATCTGGCGCGAACAGCCGGCCAGTTACTCACCAACGTGAGCAATGATACGAGTGACAAGTTCCAGCAGAGCAAGTTCCTCGATTTGATGCGTGCATTTCGTGACAAGGAGGTTCTTGTTGACGGGGACAAGATTGTGGCGAAGCCGTATGCGGATCTGGAGAATGATGCGGAGAGAGCGGTGGGTGTTGCTAAGGGCGCGACTGAGAATGTGGTTTCCGCGTGAAGCAGAACTCGGTCGGGGTAAAAGGAACAGGGATTCTGGAAGAAACTGTGGGAGGGCTGGTAGTGTGGTGGTTATGAAGGTAGTGGTGGACATATAAAAGGGACCTTGTTCATGGGGAAGAAAGTGCGACAGCGTCTACTTGGTTCTTTCGATTTGCATAGCGTGGGTTTCTACCTGGGGCGTTCGTTTACTGAATTCTTTATAATTTCTTCACAAGCGGTCGTCATGATACATTCATGATAAATATGTAGTATTATTGGTCTAGTCCTCATTTCCTTCTCTGTGTATGCAAGGGTTGCGATGGTCTTCCAGGTATCTTCCTTCTGCACGAGGATGGAGAAGAATAAAAATAGACCTATTTATTTCTTACCGTTCCGTTCTTGGGGTTGTGGTTGTGGTTGTTTTGTATCGTCCTTGTATTTACGAAGCTTTTGTATTTGCAGTTCGTTTCATTATGTAGGGAAAATTTGAAAGGGTATTGTACACCCGAGGATTCCTAAACTTTGGAAGACTTTGGGTCTTTATATCTTTACCTCCCTCTCAAGCCTGTGTCCGTTCCGTACTCCCATCACTCCTTCAAATCTAAACACAAACCCACTGCAAACGTAAACCCACTACTGTACCTAGGTACAAACATACAATCCCCCTCCCCTTCCCCCACCCGTTTCGTACTTCTTTCCCTGAGGTCTCTTGTGCTGCCTACAATAGAGTACTTACTAACGACTAACTATCTAACGATCGGAAGACTCTATTTTTTACCCTCCATTCTCTACTCTCCATGTGATGATGCAACTAAACAACTTCCACATTTAGCATCTCTATACATATAATCTACCTAAAGAGGAGGGTATATAAACCCCTCAATCTACCTACTGACCAAAGATCATCGGGACCTGGCTGTATGGATTTGACAATTGGGTTGGTGGAGTGGGAGTGTGAGACCCCTTTTGGAAATCGGATATATACGCCCTCTAGGAATGGAAGTTGGATTTTGGATTTTGAGGATATGTAAATGAGAGGATGGTCCTTCTCATGGTGATCTGAAACGAACGAAGCTCTAACTCTGTATTAACTAGGGTCTATAAGTCTCTAGCAGTGGATCACTCTGTTATACAACAAAACTTTGAATTCAACTGGTGCACAAGTTGGTTCCCACACCCTCGTTAATTCATCCCTTTCCACTTTTCGTTGCTTCATGCAGTAACTTAATGGGTTCATAATTTCATATATTCTGCTTTGGGAATGATTCGTGATTTCCGGAATGGAAGTGAATAGTGAATTAGAAGAGAAGCAGACAATAATCATTTTTTAGAATTCTAATTTGTTCCAGATACCCTCCATGGGAATATTTCATTCCATTTAAAGGACGGGCTGGAAATATGCCATTCTATTAATACAATTCCATGAAATAATGTCACGTGACCGAAAAGTAGTTCTTCAGGTCCAATAAACCAACAGAAAGCTTTCAATTAACGGTTTTAGTGTGGTTTGCTATGTAGTGATTCGTAAGTTATATAAGTTGGGTTGGAGAGAGGGTGGAGAATACGTTACGTTGAGAGATACAGACCTGCCATAAATCTCTATTATCTTTGAATTGAACGAAGACAGTACTAAAGATTTGAATGATTGCAGGAGAGCGGTTTTTTCCATACGAGAAATGCTTCTTAGGCGGTGTATACACAGAGCGAGAAAGTTATTAAGCTCTTGGTTGTTTTTTACGGCCCAGTACTTAACAAAACCAATCTCAGAACTATCTCTAGGTGGGGTAAAGAGAGGCTACAACTGGATTGATAAGACGAAAGCCTCCCATTTTCTACGGCCCCCATATAACGTTTGCGTAGGTATTATAGTGAACAAATGCCCCTTCTTTGTTAGCTATTTTGCTGTGAGTAAGAACAAAACTTCGTGTTTTGACAGTAAATATTATTTCTACAGCAAATACACATCCCCAGTTACAAAATTCAGATACATATATCTATATTAAGCTTTTTCTCTCCCAACGAGAGCGGTGGTCATCCCGTATTTCGTGCCTTTGGAGACATAATTCTTTTAAGCGGTACGCTCTATCTGGTCTTAACACAAGATCAGCATTGTCATCTTCTTCATCTTATTCTCCTCCCTGACATTATTGACTTCATTGTGGTCAATATATAACATAGAACGCGGAATGTTCTTTGCTTCATGCTCTGAGATTAGGCTTTACTGGTTTGATATGATGGAGAAGAGAGGGGTTAGAAAGGGGGTGTATTGAACTTGGTTGGTTTGGCGGTATGTTGGTAATTTGTTATGTAGTTATGTAGTTATTATTTGAAGGGGTGAGATTAAAGTGTGGCTGCCATGGGCGTTTGGTGGTATGAGAGTTAGAAAGCTACTCACCTACGATAGAAATTTAATACCTTGACATAGAGATAGCACAACTGCCTTGATCTGGGTTGACATACAGGAAGAAAGTGTAGAAATATAACGACATTACCGTTTCAAAGAAGCAGCAAATGATGTTTAAAAGGGTTTGCTATCATTTTCTCATGTGGTTGTCGCCGTTTGAACACCATGATCACAACTGCACATGGAAAGGACGCATCTTAATTGTTCTTGATATATCTCTCGCACACTTTCCGAACCACCGTGTCTTCGAATCGTTGTCACTTTTCGCTGGTTGCTTATACTTCCGGCTATTATGCTGCTAGTAAAACGAGCGAAGAGGTGTGTCTCGACAGTGAAGATGTCTGCGACAGTAGATCTTCCCTTTAGGTTAAGTAGTTCAGATAGAGGTATGTGCTATAGGACTCAATGGTTATGGGTTCTACGTTAGAGATTCTCTTTTTTTTTTGGCTTTCTTACATATACTTTGATCTTTAACTACGAGCCTCAGGCGGATGGAACTCTCAAATGATACATGAAAATGCTTTCTGTTCTGTGGTTAAACTTATTACCGCAGTAGTTGGGTATTTATGCTAAACATTTAGGGATTCCAAGGGCTTTAATTCACAATTTATCTTTTCACAGATACCTGAAATATTTGTATATATTAATAGCATATATAAAGCAAATAGACCCATAAGATCTTTATCGTATAAAGGATGATTACTACACTTTGGAGGCTAAGAAATGTACTACATTATATCTATAATATTCAAAGTTTGCTTCAAGGAAATATTGGCTAATTAAGTCTAGAGATATATTATATGGTTAATCTGGTAATATCTGAATTCAGTAAAAGTAGTAAGAGGGGCGTAAGGACATTATTAATTAAAAACATTCATAGTATACCCTACTTGTTATGTAACATCCGAGCTTTCGTACGAAGACGTCAAAATTATAGCTAGAACCCCTTAAAGGCTAGACCTTTATTCGCGTAGAAATCTTCTTGGTTTTGTTTTAGTTTATTAGCGCAAATCGATCGGGGTTGTCAATTTGCCATTAAATTCGCTTATTGAGGAGTGTAATGTCCTGGCTTTGAGGTTCAAGCTTCTGGGCAGCAAAGGAGAGGTCAAAAGCGGCTTCTGGTTGCGAGACTGTCGCCGGGTAGGCTCCGCGTGCCCGCTGGGCTACGTACTGGCCCTTAATTGAGACTCTCTGGCGAACGTTGCCCCGGGAGCTCACTAGGTCCGCTGGTGAAGTGCTCACTGGCTTCAAGTGCCTAGTATAGCCTTCCTGGGTCAAGAGTATTGAGCCATCCAGTTGAAGTGTGACCTTGCGGCCATTAAACTTGAGCGGGTGTTCAAAAGTGAGTTGCTCCCTGGGTTTTGAGGTAAACCCAGCCTTCTTCAATTCGCTCTCTTCAGCTGTAGCAAATTCTGGGTTTGCTAGTATTAGAGTATCGTCAGTCTGAAGACCGACGATCCCAAATTGCTCTTGATTGCTGACAGAGAGTAGGCAGGGGTCGTATGTGGATTGAGACATGCGCAGCTTCTCCAGGTGGTGTTTGTGGTAGGTGCTAAACCAGTGGTTCCCAGCTTCAGGTACGCCGTAGAGTGGTTTTATAACCTTGAGGTAAATTCCACTCCACTGGGGAATTCCTGGTGGTGGGCGTACATAGAACTCGCGGTTAAGCTTTGTAGTTGACTGGGTATATGCCTGGGTAATATCTCTGAGGTAGACATTTAACTCAGGGCATATAGCGGCTATGGCGAGGATAATTCGCTGGCTAACTCGTTGGATTGTAGGTGACTGGGTCAGAACTTGAGACTTGTTTTCATCGTTATATGCCTGGATAACAAGCCTTGATTTCTTATATGCCTTTTCTGTGCCCTCGTTCTTGATGCTGTCTACAAATCTTGAGTTGAGTATTCTGGCGCTTTCTGGGAGGTCGCATGGCCGGATGTACTCAAAAACATCGCGTTCAATTAGCCCATTGACCTCCTGCGTCTGGGAGTGCTTAAATTGACTAGAGGCAGAGGCAGTGGCGTCTTTAGCGAGATAGACGTCAATATTCAAGGTACTTGGTTGCTTTCGTGGTCTCCCTGGGCCACGCTTCGGAGGCTGGTTGTGGGATTGTTCCTGTGGTTGCTCTAGAGGCTGTCTTTGAGTTTTTGATGGTCTACCTAGGCCACGCCTTG